TTACCTGGAGTTCTGTCTAGCCCCAGAAAAACAGACCTGCCCAAAACCATGGTTCCAGGAACAGCAGAAATCGACCTCAGCCCAAATCTGACCTTTGCTCCCAAATGCACCATTTCAGCATTCCATGCTCCAGAATCATAAGTTGACAAGCCTGAACGTCCGATTTGCAAAACAAGCTGTGCATGAGGTTTATTTGCTGTTCCACGCAGACTTAGAGGTCTGATTCGAGTTGTGACCTCGCAGGTTCGTACATGCTAGGACAGTTAAGAGTTCTTGGGGACTTCGGCCTCCTGTCATGATGCTGGAGATGCTCCTGTGGAGAAGGTGCGCTCGCCGATCCAAGAATGCCCTGCTTTGCTCAGCTTTGTCTTTGGATGCGATGATGTTTATGCACGTGGCCTGGAATGTCGTCTTTCTGCTTGTCCTGCAGGCTTTCATGGTTCCAGGTTTTGTCCACAGGTCTGATTAGTTTTGCTGCTCTGCAATGACCAGCAGCTGCGATGATCATCTGCGGCGCGATCTCCAGCAGGAGATTCTCGACCGAGGCCTTCCTAGAAACCTGCTAATGTGCCTCATGTTAGCACTGCCCCCGCTCCCGCGAAACTGCTAGGCTTGCAAACCCTGCCAAAAGCATTTTGGCGCAGCGTCGCGGCGGTTCTCTGTCAGACGGCTTCAGTGCTTCGACTCCATGGCTAGTATAATAAGGATACATCAGCCATACGTTGACTTATGCTGTGGCGACTGCCTATTGTGTGCCGCTTTGCAATGCAAACAGGTATCAACGGTTGACGACGAAATGAAGAAGCTGATCTTGTTGAATTACGATCACCGTGGCTATGCTTTCGATGCAGCGAAATCTTACGGTCATACCGGCTTCTCGGTTTCACCAAGAATATATAGTCCCTTGCAACATCCGGCTAGGTGCAGATAGGTGCAGTAACCTCTGACATGTGAACCAAAGGTGCGAGATCATTGTCTGCGTTGTCCCGGAGCAATGCGACCCGACAGATAGAGGCACTGATGCATAAGTTGAAGGTTTATAGCAGCTTAGCAGTCATGAGTGTCGTCAAAAAATACCTAAGGCCAAATGGAACCTCGATGGCACTCAGC